AACTATTGCCAACCCCCCCCCCCCCCCAGGGTGCGGCTTATATTCAGCAGTGGACAGTTAAAGGCAAATATAATAATACAACAGTTCACTCACCCATTTCAATCAAGAAAATCCAATAAATTATACATAACTCAAGCGGCCGACCCGTCATTTAAGGAATTCAACCCTTACCCGTTATTTAATTTGCTCTCAACTAATTAAAATCCAAAAAGTTTGTATCCAAATTAAATTTTAATAGTCCCGAATAATTTCTTATTACGTAAAATATAGAGTTCAAAGTCGCACGAGAAAAAAATTTCAAGTAACTCGATGGGGGTACGTATACGCCGCGTAGGTGTGGGAGCCCTCGCCCCGTCCGGAGACGTGTCTCGCGGACTAAATTGCCTTTTTAACTTTTCCTATTTAGGGAACGTCTTGAAATCACAATAATAATAATAGGTAAGGAACGCCACGGGATCGAGTGGACATCCGATTATCATAACGTATTTACTTGGGCTTCCGCCGTATCCTTATTAATATATATTGCTATGTTGCAAATTACTATTGCCAAATTTTTTATCTGTGATAATAATGAAGAGGGAAAATTTTATTGTTTATTTGTTTGTTTGTAATGCAACTCAAAGATTACTCGAGCAGTTTTAATAATAAAAACTAAAGTGCTAAATCGATTTTGATAAAATTTCTATGCACCCAAATTGTAAATATATCCATTTAGAAGAAAAATCCCAAATTTGTTTAGAAATAATAATTTTATATATATATATATATATATATATATATATAGTATTGCAAAAAAATAAATAGTAAATTCCTAGCTGTATCCCGCCATTTCGCCCGCGTGAATCAATACATAAAGCGTCCTATATGCTAGGTTAGGATATAATCTACCTGTGTACCAAATTTCATTCAAATCCGTTTAGTAGTTTTTGAGTGATAGATTAACAAACATCCATCCTTTTGTCAATACCAACTTTCATATATATTACATTAATAGTATTTGGAAATACATTTAATGTCATGTTATGTATGTGTACAGAGGAATAACACCTGAGTCCTCAGGAATGGCAACGCATGGGAGGTATCATGGGCGAAACAGTATACTCTGTTATGTCCATGGTACTGCTCATGTCTATATGCGACGGTTACCACTTTCCATCAGGTGGGCCGTCAGCTTGTTTGCCATTCAAAGTTGCATAAAAAAAAATAGCATCTAATCTACATATCTGCGACAAAGTTTACATTCAACTTTATAGCATTCCAAGCATTTAAAAAACTAGAATACAATTAAAAACATACGTTCCGTACGAAAGAGGGCGCCACTGTAAGCTAATCTTATTTCAATTACACAAATCTGCATACGGGATGCGTTCTATGCACTTTTTAGACTGCATTGAATTACCCGCTTCGCTATTTGACACTCGCACTGTCAACCCTTTCGTGCCGCTGGCGAAATTATTAACGAATCCTTATGATTTATGGCCCCCCGGACCCCAGTTATCGGGGGCCATTAGACTCGTTATAAAATAATACATTTTGTACATATGTAAATTTTATCTAGGCAGAGTTTTTTTGTTACGTTCCCTCACATTACTGTTATGTTTTTAATACAATGAACTAATGTATACTGTTATAAAATGTTTTATAAAAAATTAATTAAAATCCAAAATAGTTCTTAATGTTTTTCATTTTAAAACTAGTTGTATCTCGCGACTTAGTCTGCGTAAATCAAAGTATATATATATATATATATATATATATATATATATATATATATATATATATATATATATATATATATATAATATAAATATGGGGCAATTTAATATTGTCACTACTATTGACACTATCTTATTTTAAACTGACTTCGAAAAAAGAATTGGTTATAAGTTCGTTTGTATATATTTTTTTTATGTATGTCTACTGATTTCTCCGTCAATTGTGGACCGATTTCAAACATTCTTTTTTGTTTCAAAGAATACACTCCTGAGGTGGTGGTAGTCTAATGATGGAATCCCAAGAAAATCGAGGGCAACCCTCAGATTTTATACGCACATATATCGTCACAGTCGTAGAATACTGACGGATCTGACAAAGATTACATATAAAGATCCGTCAGTATTCTACGACTATGACGATATGGTGTTTAATATATTTTTCAAAACTTATTGTTATGACTTATCAAACAAAAATAGTTACGTTATCTTATTTAAAAAAAAAAAAAAAAACAAATTATGTAAAAAAATTTTCTTCACAAAAACGCATTAAGATGTACGCGATAAAAACTCAGTGATGACATTTTAATTACTCAGCGAGGCTATAACGGTTAAATGCTTACTTACTTCGTAATTGCCATATCAGAATATTACAATAACAACTGTCAAAATTAATACAAGGCTCGATTTAGCGAATGGCCGGTGAGCGTCGCAAAATTCGTCTCGTTTTTATCCCCACCCCACTCCCAAAGGAGCCGGGGCATCCGGGGCGTTCGGGGCATTATGGACCCGGCCCCGGCGGATGAAGAGTTAATGAACTAATACAGATATTAACAATACATTAGTCGCATCGGACGCTCTCGCTGCGTACCGCGCAAGCAATTACTCCGGCCCTTGTCGGGGGATAGTGGACCCTTTTGCGCCTCTCGCACGCTAATTTCGAATGTCCTCTACGTTTCGCCGTTAATTTTATATTTATATAAAATATATTTATATAATTTATATTTATATAATTTATATTTATTTTATACATCTGTTAAAATGCTCGATTTCGTAATAAGTAAAAACCTTTGTTTAATAATTGCTTGGCCAATTTATACGTAAATTTTATTTGATTTTTGTCCACTACTTCATACACGTGGTGGATGTCAGAAATAGGAAAATTAATGAAATAGACCAATTGTAGATGGCATATTTAGATAAAAAAAATTATATAAAAGAACAAGTTCACTTTAAGTTGATCGTGTCTGGATATCTTAATGTCCCATTGCAGAAAAAAAAACATAGTTGTCAAATTTTTTTTTAAACATTTTTCCTTTAATTTTGAACATGAATTATATCACCTTGATTTATTTCACCAATAAAAAAAATCCTGCAAAGAAGGGTTAAGTTTTCACAGTGATTTTCACACTTCAGGAATGAAAGTGTGAAAATCGCAGTCAATTTGTTACAGTTATTTTTTTTGTGTGATAAAGGAACAAAAATACATACAATACAGACAATAAATTTCTAAAAAATATTTGTTATCTGTACACATTAGACCTCTCCCATAGACTGTCAAAGCTACGGGGCAATGGCCCCGTAAAACTGCAATAGGGAATGCCCTATTGCAGTTTTACCATTAGCTTAATTTTACCCATAGTGGTCATGCTTAACAGGTACATCGGCTACCGAAATTTGGTTTTGATGTTTTACACTGCTGCCCATCCTTCGACCACTAAATAACCTTAGTTGCCTCTTATGACAAAGGAAGGGCTGGTCCATTCCATGCCGTGACTATAGGGCTATATGTACATACCTACATAAATATACATGATATATATGAGCTAGATTGCGCTGATATTAATCGAATCACAAAGCAATCGGAGGAATATCTCGCAATCGTACAAAATTCATACTGACAGTTAATTTGGAAATGCAGCGGCGGCAGGCGGCTCGGCCGCCCGCCTGCCGCCCGCCTGCCGCCCGCCAGCCGCGCGCTCGTGGCCGTTTACTTATTCAGCAGCCATACAACATATTGCTCAAGTAATTGTTTCAAAAACTTCACACACCCACGTATTTATGTACTCCTGGTATATGATTTTTATATAACTATAATTTTATATGTAGGAGGAAAGTTAGCTTCGACATTATTTATGTTCATTTATCATTTAAGTGAAAATAAAATACTATTTATATAATATTTATTTATATTTATAGTTATTTATATTTATAATATTTATTTATATTTATAGCGTTTATAAACATATTTGGCGATGTATTAATAATTTGTCCGGGGATGGTGATTAGTGTCAGTAGTCTAACTTCTATAAATAGAGGGGAAAAGGATTGTTAGTGATGGAGACAGAATCCCATTGCTAGCAATATACGCAACCAGCTCGACCTTCTCGCGGTTTCCCCTGGAAACTATCATGGTTAATTCCTGATGAATTCATCATGATGGGCTAACTGGCCTGTTTTCATTCTCGTCTATCACCCTTCACTGGTGCTCCGCCAGCGTATCCCGTTAGCGCAGGCGGGGTTACCATACCATTTTCACCCATCAAAAAAAACCTTCTATAATTTTACAATTTTTTTGATTCTTAATTACTTTTTTGTTTCCAACTACTGTACAATTACTCTTTAGTAATCAAAATTTAATTCATTCTCTTCTAAAGAAGAAATAAATTATAGATAACACGCTAGAACCTGCGTCGGTCGTGCTAGGTCGCGTACAACGTGGTTTCAGATGAGTTTTTCCCGCGAACGCTCAGGCTGTAGAATGAACTCCCTGCCGAGGTTTTTCCTAGGGACCACAGTATGGGGTACTTCAAAAAGGATGTTACTATCAATTTAACGATATTTTAAGTATAGATTATTATTATATTTTATATAAAGAGCTATAATTCAAATGTAGGGGCTTTATGCAACGCAATTTCAGGTAAATAGTATCTACTTACCTGAGGGTCTACCATGAAATGAAATTCCGAAGTTTTGAACTCAATTTCGTGTTTACGAAAACACGAAATTCAGTCCAAAATTTCGATATGAATCGAAATTGGCCCAATACATGGAATTTAACATTTTATTCGTCATAAATCCTACTATAAAAGTCCAAAAAAACGATATTTTTAAACGGTATGTATTATTTAATTTTAACATCAAATTTGTGATTCAGCCCGGAAATTTCAGAAAACATTTCATGGTAGAAGTGTCACCGATGCGAAAGTTTAAAATTAACATTTCAACAATGTTACTGTACTTATTGTGATGAACATTTTCCTAAAGCAAACTGTCTCTTTGTTTCAGGTTTATCAACGCGAGACGTAGGATAGTGCAGCCAATGATAGACCAGTCAAATAGAGCAGGTAACATTTTTCTTGTACATCTAAACTTATATACATCTAAATGAAAGGTTCCCAAACTTTAAGAGTACATTATTTTTTAACGCCCCCATTTTTTCACCTACTTAAAAACCACTATTACTTCAAGATCAACAAATCACCCCCCAAGCTTCTACACAACGCCCCCATTTTTTTTTTGGGTCTCACGCGTACCTTTTTATGACGTACAAACTTCTTTAATGGAACCTAGAACCCGGGCCCAGCCTAGCTCTCATATTTCTACTTTCGTTTCCACGTCTGTTAAAATAATTACCATTTAAATCAGGCACTTTTACCAGAGGGAGACTTTATACAAAAGTCGTTTGCTTGGACACCTCTGTCCCATTCGTGTTTCTACCGAGAAGCAGTTGTGTTTTGCATGGCTGTGTTTCGGTTTGAAGGTTGGGATATGGCAGTGAATTCACAGGGTACAGAGAAATAACACCCGAGTCTTCTGTATCATGGGCGAAACAGTATACTCTGTTATGTCCATGGTACTGCTCATGTCTATAGACGACGGTTACCACTTTCCATCAGATGGGCCGTCAGCTTGTTCGCCATTCTAAGTAGTATAAAAAAACTTTCCTTAACAAAACTTATCTATACATTGTAAACGATTTAAAAAAAGTATGTGTATATGTGCGTCTTCCCCTCAATAACATAAAACATTCATTAGATAGCTACCATTTCAATGAACCGCACCGAATTTATAGTCTCGAAAGACTGCAGCGACCTCTTTGTTCTATTCGCACGGCCAATAATTCCTTTTCGACTATCAATAGACATTACACTCACGTGTGACCGTTTGAAATTCGAAGCCGCACGTCCTGAACGACTTTGAAGTCGAAAATTGAGTTTGCCGACCGCAAGTCCGGCCTGCCTTCATACAGTATGCAAGCGCTCGCATGCACCTGAGTAACTGTCCGGCCGATACGTTCCCTCGAGGACTGCCCGCCTTTTGAAAGCTTTTAGCACTGACCATCGACGAGTTATACGACCCTGGTACTATTTATCTAGTAACGCTCAGCTGTGTCTCAAAATGGGTAAAGAAAAATATCTGAAGCGGTTTGAATGCCAAAACACTCACACCAAACTCATACAGGTTTTTTTTTATTCATTAGTACATATATGTATACATGACGGACTTAATGCTAAAAGCATTCTCTCCCAGTCAACCATAGGGAAGTGGCAGAATACTCAAATGCGGTACTACTAATTATTGATATACATACATACTAAAATTACATATATAAACGAATAAATATATATAAATAACAAATATATTTACACATATATAACATATACTATATTATATACGAAATTAAGAATAATATAATATAAAGAGCTTACTGCTCGGATAAAGTAAACAAGTGAGCATGAACGTTTTTTTTTAAAGACGGTTTAGTCGGTAGTCTGTTAATGGTGTCAGGAAGCGCGTCTACCAGAAGGAGACTTTGTACAAAAGTCGATTGCTTGGGTACCTCTGTCCCATTCGTGTTGCAACCGTGAAGCAGTTGTGTTTGCATGGCTGTGTTTCGGTTTGAAGGGTGAGATATGGCGTGGATTTACTGGGTACAGAGGAATAACATCTGACTCCTCAGGAATGGCAACGCATGGGGGGTATCATAGGCGAAACAGTATACTCTGTTATATACATGGTACTGCTCATATCTATAGGCGACGGTTAGTACTTTCCATCAGGTGGGCTGTCAGCTTGTTTGCCATTCTAAGTTGTATAAAAAAAAAGCGCGTTCCAGAGTCGTGAAGAATGTAGGAGAAAAGAATTACAGGTTACCTATATAATAGGAATGATCGATTAATAACAGCGATCTCAATAATCTTAACGCTAGATATGAATGCAAATGGACATTTAATGTTATAATAAGATACCGAAGAATATTCATGATCTTTTGATAAATTTAAAACTGTTACAAATACACTTAAGGAACGAAGCCATATTAAACGATTGTTTGAATGACAAACGTGCATGGTGTTAGTCGATCATGCACAGGTTTTTTAATGACCGTGTTATTTTAGACAAGTTAAAATAAATACACATTATGTTAACAGAGATTTAATAATAATAAATAATAAAATTAGTTTATTCATCTCCACAAATTACCATGTATAGATTATTTACTCTATACAAAATAAAAGTATCGTAATTTGTGGGAGATCTGGAGCCTAAACTAAGTCGTAACTTGTATCTTAGACACCAGGTCCCCCCCAATAAAGTATTGACAATTCAAAGTAAAAGATAGTTGCGTGGAGAGAAACAGAAGAGAAAGAGAAAAAAAAAAAAGAAAAAATTTAAAAGAGTAACTGTTGAGTTTCTCGCGGACTCTTCTCAACAGATAACAACTTCCTGAAGGCTGCAGTAGATTTTAAAAAATGACGATTTAAAAGTGCTTGTAAACAATTCTATTTGAAGAAAGATGATTTGAATTCGAACTTGACAAAACAAGGTTATGATAGTTAAAGAAAATGACTGCCGAAAAGTCATGTTTTTTTAATAAAAACAACTCGAATCATGTCACTGAACATAAAACGAGAAAAATGGAACAAAAACATCGAGAATTTCTGACGGGGAAAAAACTTTTGTCCGCCCGTCGACAATATGGTATAGAATTACAAACGAGCAATTCTATTTTTACTTTGTAATTGTAGCACACAGTCCATAAAACGTTCCCGGGGCCCGCGCGGCTAACAAAATTCCACCCTGGAAAAAAAGGACATCGCAGAAAAAGGGCTTACTCTTGCGAACGCCGGGAACGCAAGAAGGGTAAAAAAGAATAATGTCCGAATTCGTTGACCCGTCCCGAGCGATCCATCACTCGCCCCTCCGCCGACTATCGCCGATGTATGCTCGCTCGGTACCTTTATCTAGATGTGTGGATGTATTCGAGGGCCTCGCCTATTCAGGATTAGAGAGAGATCTTTTCCGTTTTTGTCTGTCTGTAATTTCGTGGACCGGGAGAAAGCTGTATTTCAATTCTATGTGCACGATTTTAATAAACCGAACGTAACGGGCGCCCGTGCTCCGCGACTGACGAGTTCAACACGATTTAATCCTCGCGAAAAGCCCAATAAACGATTGGTCGGAAATAGCATACGATGGCCGCGCTCGAACGAATTGTAATTTACAGGCCGGCACGGTAATGGCGTCGCATCACAGAGCAATTTATGCCCTTATAATAAATTCATTAGCCAGCGCCGTCGTTCCGAGCTGGAACACCGGCTATCCGTATATATGGCCACTAGCAATCGAAGCACTGACAGGGTTATGTCTGACGATACGCACACACGTATCTCGCCGACAAATTAATAAACCATGACGCTATTACGGCCGGTACAAGGGAATATGGCAAAAACGAGAATTATTGGCATGCGACGATTAATGAAACAAAGGGACGGATTGAGTCGTTCATTTCGTACGATTCTCGTGGCAAAAGCGGAACGTGCCAAATGCGGCGCACAGGGAAACGACCACGCACGCACCAGGAATACATAAACGCGAGGCGACCGCACTGCAAATAATATAGTGATTGGAAAAGCGCCTTTTGGCTTGACCACAGGAAATGCGGTGGCCATTTTCTTTAGTCCATTGCCAAAACAATTTTCCATCTATCCTATCCACCCTCCGGTTTTTCCATTTTCCGTTGTTGGCAAACTTGGCTACGTTTACATCCGCCGTTTGGCTAGTCGCTATTGTATATGGCTTGTTTAATGTTTTACCTATATGTTTGACGGATTGTTGTTTTGTTGGTGATATTTCCATTGAACGCTATAACAATAACGTCAAGGCCGCGACCTGAAGATTACCGCGTACTAAATCATAGTTTCCTAGTAGACGGGGGCTGTGTGCGGCGTCTCCGGGGGCTCGGTTATTGCTTCCTGTTGTCCTAGTAGCAGGAGCCACGCTTCAATGGACACAAAATTGCAACGGGATCTTTGTATTTTCGCTATAGTTTGCAAAATACATGGGACGCTATTAAACCATAACAGATTTTGCTGTACCAGCAGTAGGCTAGCCTAAATTTGAATACCCAAATAAATGGTCGTATAAATAGTGAGGCATTTAAAACAAAAAAAGTATAAAACGAAATTAAAAATTATATAGATTAATTAAAATAATTTATTATTATTATATCAGAGGGAGACTTTCTACAAAAGTCGATTGCTTGGGTACCTCTGTCCCATTCGTGTTTCTACCGTGAAGCAGTTGTGTTTGCATGGCTGTGTTTCGGTTTGAAGGGTGGGATATATCGTGAATTTACAGGGTACAGAGGAATAACATCTGAGTCCTCAGGAATGGCAACGCATGGGGGCTATTATGGGTGAAACAGTATACTCTGTTATGTCCATGGTACTGCTTATGTCTGTAGGCGACGGTTACCACTTTCCATCAGGTGGGCCGTCAGCTTGTTTGGCATTCTAAGTTGTATAAAAAAAATATCAAATGTTAACTAACCACTGCTAAACATAGGCCTCTCCCGTAAGGGGTGTTTAGCCAGTAGTTGCCACGCTTGGCAGGCGAGTTGGCAACAGCAGTTAGATTTTGGTGATGTTTTAAGAGGAACGCTGCTGCTCATCCTTCGACCATTTAGTTCCCTTAATCGTGTCTCTTACGATATCCACGGAGATGGAAAAGGTGGTCCATTCTATGCCGGGACCACACTGAACCTACATATTTGTCTCATAGAAATTATATCAAACTCGGTTCATTAATTTAGTTTTTAATATAAAAATAACAGCTTTTGCCACAATCGAAGCCAGTTTTTTGTGGCACAATCCAATATTTTTTTATTTTTTTTTTAATGAGTGATAATGAAATGGTGGCCCCACCCGCGCTATCTGTATACACCGGCAGGGCATCAGTGAAGCATGATAGGTGAGGATGAAGTAGATCAGTAGCCCATCGTGACGAATTCAACAAGAATTGTTCACGATGGTTTCCAGGGGAAACCACATGGAGGTCGACCTATTAGGGCATATTGCTAGCAATGGGGCTGTCAAACTCCATTGCTTCCATCAAACATTCCTTGACCATTAAGTCCCCTTATTCGTCTCTTACAATTCCCACGGACTCATTCTATGCCGGAGCCACACGCTTTAAGAATACTATGCAACATCTCAGAGGTTTTTCACTTGATCTTGATAAGGATCAACTTGAATACTAAATATTTATTAAATATACATAAATATTTAATTGATTCAAATAATTGGTGATATACATACATTTATATCAGAAGCTTGAAGGACCGATAACTGATGAGGAAAAAAAGGTTCTTGAGTGGCGACCCCGTATAGGCAAACGCAGTATAGGATTGAGTGACAACCTCAAATACATTGTAGGCAGTCAGTAAATAAATAAATAAGTAGATGCAGGTGGCCCAGAACCGTTCCTCGCGGCAGTCTATGGGCATCCCCCATAGACTGACCCCTATATTCAATAATGGGCAGATAATGGCTGATGTGATGATGATGCAACCATAAAACTAAAATACCCTTGTTTTATGGAAAATAATTTATGAAATTATCAATATAAATATATATATATATATATTTTATTGCACTTGTAAGTTACATATAAAATAATCTATTTATAAATGTTGTGAGCAAGTGTGGACTTATCTCTGATAGAGATCTCTTCCAGTCAACCCAGTACAGTGAGAAAACATTTCGTTAGCGGGCAGCTGAAGTGCTACAACTATTAATATTTAGAATACATAAACAAATATACAGTTAAATAAAATATTAAAATATATAATAAAATATTACATAAATACATACACTATAAATACATATAATACCTACCTATTTATATATAGTATGGGAATAATTTTGGCGGTAAGACATTACAGATTGATCCCATGTTTGTTCCCAACTCTCGTGAGCCAATGACGCGTACCACCATAAAGACCCCAAGGATGCCGGAAATCGGCGTCTATAATGGACGAACACCATTACTTTACGATTGATAATCCCCTGGAAATATTGCAATCGGAAACCATAACAGTTTTGTGGTAAAATTGAGCGAATTCCTATCTTGTACGGCGGGTTGACAATGAGGGGCGCAGTTAAAAAGTTTTTTGCCTTGTGCCCAGTTTTCTATATGTATTCGTATTTCTAAAAAAGGGTAGGCAGAGACAGAGTTAACGGATAAGTGTCTGAAACAGTGAACATAGAGTAACCGGTAATTGTTATATTAAAATATAATGTGTGCTTACGGAACTTTTAACTATAAGATAGACATTTAAATGTTTTTTTTTTTTTATTTTTTTTTTATTTAAAAGTTTCCTCTTGTCGGTGCAACTAATTCATGCATCTTCTTCCAGCCAGCTCTATCCCAGGCCATATCCTTGACCTCCCTATACGACATGGCATCTAGTTTTTCTTTTATCTGTCCCATGTAGTTGAACATCACAGAGTATACTGTTTCGCCCGTGATACCCCCCATGCGTTGCCATTCCTGAGGACTCAGGTGTTATTTCTCTGTACCTTGTAAATTCACGCCATATCCCACCCTTCAAACCGAAACACAGCCATGCAAACACAACTGCTTCACGGTTGAAACACGAATGGGACAGAGGTACCCAAGCAATCGACTTTTGTACAAAGTCTCCCTCCGGTATGATTGTGTAATGTTCATTATTATGTTGTTTTGTCATATGTAACATATATAATTTATATTGTTTTCTTCAAGAGCGATTGTAACTAATTAATGATATTATTTAAGTAACAAGTTTGTTTAGTGTAAGTGTAAATAAGATTGCCTGGGTACCTCTGTCCCACTCGTGTTTCAACCGTGAAGCAGTTGTGTTTGCATGGCTGTGTTTCGGTTTGAAGGGTGGGATATGGCGTGAATTTACTGGGTACAGAGGAATAACATCTGAGTCCTTAGGAATGGCAACGCATGGGGGGTATCATGGGCGAAACAGTATACTCTGTTATGTCCATGGTACTGCTCATGTCTATAGGCGATGGTTACCACTTTCCATCAGGTGGACCGTCAGCTTGTTTGCCATTCTAAGTTGTATAAAATATATATATATATATATATATATATATATATATATATATATATATATATATATATATATATATATATATATATATATATATATATATATATGATGATGATGATGAATGGATATATCATTGGATATCTATTATATTCTTTAATGCAATAACTCCTGAACGGATTACACATTAAACACTTGAAATACTGGAACACGCAGGCAAAGCCGCGAGATTTTGCTAGTGTTACATGAGAAAAAGTCAGTTGAAACTGGTTGAATACCATAAGTAACTCATATTACAGCCAGCTTAATTAACCGTACAGTGTTCTACCCGGCAGTGTTCCCGCACGCGGGGCCCAGCGGCGCGTACAGTCCGGAGGCGACCATGGGCTACATGATGGATGGACAGCAAATGATGCACAGGCCCCCCACGGACCCCGCCTTCCACCAAGGGTACGCGCACTACCCGGCCGAGTACTACGGCCACCACCTCTAATGCAGCCTGCACGTTTGTACATGTAAGTTGGATTTTGCTATATATAATTTTTCATCGTGCCTCCCACCAGATTGTTTATAATTACTCCTCTCCATCCAAAGGTTGCCTGCAAGAGATCGCTCTTAGCGATAAGGCCGTCCATTGTTTTCTCATTGTGATTATTTCTTGTAATTATTTATATTTATAATAAGTTTACTATTGTAATCTTTTGGAGGAAACAATAAAGAATATCTATCTATCTAATATGGTAAGGGTATTTTTATGAAAATGGTAGGTTACCCTTCTTGTGCTAGAGGTATACGCTAGTAGGGTAACAGGTAATGATGATAGATGAAGAGGGAACTACGTCAGTTGGCCCATCTCATCGCTAACTACAATGATTGGGAGAAAGGGATTGTTAGTAATGGAGACTTAGAATCCCATTGCTAGTAATATACCCAACCAGGTCGACCTCCTCGCAGTTCTCCCTGGAAACTATCATGGTTAATTCCTGATGAATTCATCATGATGGGCTAACTGGCCTGTTTTCATTCTCATCTATCACCCTTCACTGGTGCTCCGCCAGCGTATCCCGTTAGCGCAGGCGGGGTTACCATATCATTTTCACCCATCAAAAAAAAAATCAAAATGTTTTACTGAACTAAGTTCACTTATGGGAACTTAATACTCGAGGGATGGGCAGCAGCGTCCCTCGTTAAACATTTCTCAATTCTAACTGCAAATCCGAAATAAATTAAACAGAAAAATAATCATAATTTTTATTCGTGTGACATTTATAAAAGCTAAAGTAAAATAAATTACTACAAACAGTTTGTCAATTAATAATGTAAAATTGCAGATATTGATAACGGAGAGAGTCCGGCGCAGCGAGCCGAGGGCGGCACTCGCGCGACGCTCGGCTCCGGAGCGAGGCCGGCCACCGCGCCTCTGTGATACACGACACCGGCACGCGACACGGACGCGCGACCACGCGGGCCCACGCACGCCCACGCGCTGCACACGCGCGACCCATGCGCCACTCCCGCGCCACACTCGCGACACCACACTACAGGAGAACGATGCTACACTGTACATAAAGCGATACCTTTTGTAATATTTGAAACAGTATACGATCTCCTAAATTAAGATTTAAAGTCAACTTTAATGTTTAAATTAAAATGTAAATTTACGCGACTCTATGGACGATGTAATATAACTGGTGCAATCACCTATTATAAATAAATAAATAAACGGTTTTATCACTCGGAACAATAAGAGCAAAGTTGATGAATGTAACAATAAAAGTGGTTTGATAGTTAACGTATAAATATTTATAGCTAATTGTGTATTGTTATTATTAAATATAAATAAATAATTGAATAGTTGTAAGTTGTAACTATCACTGGAAGTACTTGGGTCGCTGTGGACAGATGGTAATAGAAATGGGACTTTTTGTAAAGGAGTTGTGTATGTAACTGGTTTATTTTGATATGGTTTTTTAACAACTTTCGTTGTACGGGGGACGCCGCGGGGCCGGAGAGCGGCTAGTCCGCATGAGGAACTCGCTGGTCGAGTTCGTCGCTACTCTGTCGCCCGCGAGCCGTTCGTGAGTCGCTCGCGAATCGCTCGCGAGTCGCTCGCCGCTCGCCGGTCGCGCGCCGCCCCTCGCCTTAACCTAACCCCGCGAAGTACTTTCATATCGAATGTGTTGCGTCTGTTACCTACCAATTAATTTATTCAATAATCATTATTGTCAAGCTCAAACTGTACTTTTCTATATGAACGTCAATTTCTTATATCTTAATTTTAATTGTCCGAGAAGCAGTTTCGTGTTTTGCGTTACAGGTGAAGTACATATCTTGAATTATATATATATATATTTATTAATTACTATATGTAATGATATTGTGAATCGGATATCATTGTTTCACCTTGCCTTGGTGTTCAATAATGTAGCACAATTTGTAACCGATGTATACGATAACAAAAATGATATTTTACAATGTTAAAATGAAAAGAGATTTTTAGGTATATTTTTGTCTTGGGAATACCTGACATCGATTGCCTTCTACGTTACCAGGAGACCATGAATTTTTATTGTTCTTTCGCGTAGGGCTGGACAATTAGAAACTGAAGTGTTTATGCAACATTGTTGGTTAGGACTATATGTTTTTTTTTTTTCCTAATTATCCAGCCTTGCCGCTTATATGTTTATAGTGAAACAAGAGTCGTGTGATTTTTGTGACTGATAAGAATCGTGAGCTTCTCCTAGATTATTACAAACCGTTCAATTGTACGTTCCGTGGTCACAGACTATATCTACCATTTTAGCATGCAGTACATTGTAAAAGTATCACGTGTATCGTTTTAGATTAAGCCACGGAACTAAATTAACGATATTACTAAATAAACATGAGAATACGTTAAGGTAATGCGTCGCATTACAGCCTTATGCCATGTATACGAACGGGAGCTATAAAAATGTCAAAATGGTCTTAGCTACGGTATAACTTTGATAGTGGAATAAGTTATCCGGAAACAAGCTTTATTCTAGGGTAATTAAACCACCATATTGTCTTGTGAACCAGGCGTGACACGTTTGTTTTGTGTTAGTGGTTGAATATTTGAGTTTGTAAGCGCCAGCGCTGGTGGCTCCATCTCGCGCGTCTCGCGCAAACCAATCGTGTCACGGCTCGGTGTATCATTTAGAAAAGGTTTGTTATCTTTTGTAAATATACTTATCATGAAATACTTATATATTTCATCGTTTTACCTTTGTATATTGCCGTTTCATTTCCAGTGCAGTCTCAGTATTAAAAATTGGAATCGTTTGGAAAAAAAAACATAAACAACATAGGCATAGACATTTTCTTTCACATGCAACACCAGACTTTGTTGATAATTTCCCTTTTTATTATTGTTATTTGCATTGCGTGTAATATATTTTTATTAAGAGAAAAATCTTAAATAGTAGTTGTTAGGTATTAATGTATTAATTGAAGAAGTTTATTTTGATTTTTCTCTTTATTATATATGTATATGTACATTATATATAATGATTTGAAAGTCATCAAGTTATTGTAAATATAGCTACTAAAAATGAACATTGTACGTCTGTCAGCGGAATATTTCAATTATTATGGAATGGTACGAGGAGAAAAGTTAATTATATATTTGTATTGTATAATTTTGGCGAGGTACATATTATTATAAATATGAAATATACATAAATAGTGAACTGGTTTATATAATATAAACGATAGCAACACCCTCGCGCTGACGGAACGAGTGGAGAAACTGGCGAAACTGTGTCGGCATTATGAATGCTACGAATTGTGTAAAAAATATTAAAACCTAAAAAAAAAAAATTTCTTGTTTCATTTTTGCATGGTCGCATCCACATTAAAAACCATCGACACCTAACTTCTGGAAATTAACAATTTATTTAGTTTATAAATTGCTTCTAGAAAAATGAGTATAATAACTACTAAGTACTAGGACATTATAATGAAACCAAATTCCAATGTCTTTTACTAAGACTAGAATATTATAAAGTATAAAACGTAAAACAGTTGTGTTTGCATGGCTGTGTTTCGGTTTGAAGGGTGGGATATGGCGTGAATTTACAGGGTACAGAGGAATAACACCTGAGTCCTCAGGAATGGCAACGCATGGGGGGTATCATGGGCGAAACAGTATACTCTGTTATGTCCATGGTACTGCTCATGTCTATATGCGACGGTTACCACTTTCCATCAGGTGGGCCGTCAGCTTGTTTGCCATTCTAAATTGTATAAAAACATCGTTCAATAAACTTTTTATTTTCACAATATAATTTATTATATCAGCAAACTAAATTGTTGGTAACATTTTTATAAACTCCTAGTATATACTAAGAGGTAACACTGGAATTTAAAAGATGATGAAAAAAACTGCTACACAGTGCTGAACTCCTAGTAGTTAGTACTAAGAGAATAGGAAAACTAATTGAATGTCTCTACAGTTTATGACCTCCTAGTACTTAATGATAATACTCCTGGTTGGTATCAGGAAAGCAGCCAGTAAGTATGTATGTATGTGCCTAGAGATGAGAATGGTACTAGGAGATCATGAAATCAAAGATCTAACTGACCGAGTGAATTGTCGTGTGATAATTAAGAGCATTCATAACAAAAGTATGGCAAAATCACATTTCTAAAATAAATTGGTAGTAATTTTAAATACTCTTGATTGATCATTAAAAAAAAAGCACTGCTAATTAAAACTTTAATCATGCAATAATATTCTTATTGCGCAGTCACATTTTTTTTTTTATTTTGATGGCAAAAATGCACTTCAAAAATTTTGCAGCAAAACATGAAGTCGAGGAAAAGTAATAAAATGATAAATTTCATTAAAAGTATTCTATAATAAACGTTTTAGTTTAGTTCTAGTTTTAGATAGATAGATAGATAGATACTCTTTATTGTTTCCTTCAAAAGATTACAATAGTAAACTTATTATAAATATAAACAATTACAAGAAATAATCACAGTGAGAAAACAATAGGCGACCTTATCGCTAAGAGCGATCTCTGTCACGCAACCTTTGGATGGAGAGGAGTAATTATAAACAATCTGCTGGGAGGCACGATGAAAAATTTTGTTAGTTCTAAATATGTTTTAGCAGAGCATTTTCTAAATAACCAAACAGTACATCGATTTTTTCAAAAATTATGACGAATGACAGTAAAGTTATAAACGCTTCTTATTTTTCTGTATCTATCTATTGTTAAGCGAAATATTTACCCATCAAAAACCCCAACTTAAAGAATTTTAGGTATACCGTTTTCCAAAATTTGACCACATAGAAAAAAAACAGAAAAACCTACTAATAAGGAATTAATAATAAAGACTCTATCAAGTGAGCAAACATAAGTCTAAGTACAAAAGTTCATTAAATTATATAATTTACAAATAAAATCAGATATAATTTTCGTTCTTTTTTTTCCTTTTTTTTTATTATGATAATACATTTTCAAATCAGCTATTTAAAATAAGTATAATTCAAGAAAAATGGATTTGAATGACTCTTCCATCCTACATTTAGATATATTGGATTTTGGATAAACACTCCCCGATATTTCCATTCGTGCATAAGAAAAACAAGTTATTTTTGAAAATGACTGAACAAGTCAGTAAAGTGTTTGCGTGGACGCGCGGATAGTTCCCAACTTTACGAATACATTTACGTAAGTGGGTAACTTTATTGTTTACACACTGGCCGATCGTGTTCACGGGAAACTAAACGTCAAACCCTTAATAAATAAACAAGTAAAAGTGCCGTGGAAAAAAACTTACAAAATATTAAATACCTTCTTAAAAATAATATCTCGATTCCTTATTTAAAAACTAAACGCAATTGTTAACATTTATCAATGTCAATTATTAATTAATTACTAATTATTTCTACATTAACTGACGATACATTAAATAATTAAAAGTACCAGGGTATCAGCGTGCTGAGACGATTGCATGTAACGTAGCCGCTACATCGTAGCGTTCGTAGCGCCGTAGCCGCGTAGCGGGCGTGGCGCCTCGAAAATGGCGACCGACAGTGAGTAATGGCACTCCGGGACGAGTCCAGTGACGCGTGCCGCAGGGCTGTCCACAGTTGCAGTGTATGTTAGAGTACATATAGAATTTAAGTTCATAATAAATCAAGAACTGTTTGAAAAACCATCTTTAATTAGTTCCTTACCGGTTTACCTCGGTAATGAACAATATTACAAACTCACTGTGAACTGAATGTGTTAACTTATTCATTACAAAATTATACTTATATCATACAGAAGAGATTTTGCCTCACTCTGCGTGTTCTACCGCCTGTACAATGGATTGTGCTCAGAGGAATTGTTCAATATGATGCCCACAGCCTCTTTCTACCATCGTACGGCTCGCCATCCACAGGGAGTTCACCCTCATGTCCTACAGCCTCAATGGTCGCGTACTGCGCGGTTTCAGAGATGTTTCCTCCCACGAACACTCAGGTTGTGGAATGAGCTCCCTGCCGAGGTTTTCCCAAAAGACTACAGCATGGGGTTCTTCAAAAGGGAGGTAAAGAGGTTTCTTCAGGGTCGGCAACGCACGCGTAATACCTCTGGTATTGCAGGTGTTCATAGACTACGCTAACCACTTACCATCAGGTGGGCCGTATGCTTGTTGGCCATCTCAGTGGTATAAAAAAAAAACACATTAAATATTTTGTATTTTTTTTTATATACCACTGCGTTGCGTGCGTTGCCTACCCTGAAGAAACCTCTTTACCCCCCTTTTGAAGAACCCCATGCTGTAGTTTCTTGGGAAAATCTCGGCAGGGAGCTCATTCCATAACCTGAGTGTTTGTGGGAGAAAACATCTCTGAAACCGCGTTGTACGCGACCATTTAGGCTGTAAGGTATAAGGGTGAACTCCCTGTCTCTTTGTTTCTTTTCAAGCTCATAATTCTACGTTTAGGATAAATCTAGCCTATTATAAATTGATATTAATATTATTATAGTTATTTTTATTTGTATATTATTATATTTGCAGTAGAATAATGTAAGATTTTTTCCAAAAAAAAGCCGATTTTAATTTTGGCAAAATTATTTGTTTTGATTTAAAAACTAAACTACTAACCCGCTTTTGATAAAATTTCTATACAACCAATCTATAAGTATATCTTTTCAAATAAAAAAGTACTGTATTTTCCAAATCGGATAATAACTGATCGAGTTAAGAGTTAACTAATAAAAAAAAATACAACTAAATTGAGAACCTCCTTGTTTTTGAAGTTAAAAAATAAAAAAATGAAATACTTAGATCGCTTAACCCTTAAATACCTGAAGTTTCAAATTTGATATCGGGGTTATAAATCGCATTGGGCGCCTACAATCGATTTTTATTTTAATATTTGGCTGTTTACATGTTACCAAATGATATTTTTTTTTTTTTCAAAATAAATATATAAAAATATCGTTTTGATTTTTTTACTGTTTTTCCCCATTAGTAAACACAGTAAAGGGTACACGTATTTATTTTTTTATTTGATTTAAAAAAAATCAGGCTTTTAAGGGTTAAAATTATAAGATAAGAGCAGTTTTGAAAAAAAAATATGCCACTTAGAATGGCAAACAAGCTGACGGCCCACCTGATGGAAAGTGGTGACCGTCGCCTATAGACATGAGCAGTACCATGGACATAACAGGGTATACTGTTTCGTCCATGATACCCCCATGCGTTGCCATTCCTGAGGACTCAGGTGTTATTCCTCTGTACCCAGTAAATTCACGCCATATAGATAGATAGATAGATAGATAGATATATCGTTTATTTGTTTGTTCCTAATCACCCTTACATATCCCACCCTTCAAACCGAAACACCGCCATGCAAACACAACTACTTCACGGTTGAAACACGAATGGGACAGAGGTACCCAAGCAATCGACTTTTATACAAAGTCTCCCTGTTAGAAGGCGGTTACGGTTAAAAAAATTTATATAATCTGTCAAACAATAGACACGAGTGGCAGCCCTAGTTTTTTCCTACTACGGAGCACAGTAAGCAACGCACCGATTGTATCGCTCGCGGATGCTCGGAGCGGCCCATTTGTCAACCTTAGCGCCCTCCCGCCGCACGCCCCCGCGCTCCCCCGATCTCCCCAGCAGCACGGTACCCCGCCCCGCGCGCCGAACCACCCGCCAACTCGCAGCCACAAAAGAAACGCAGGCTTCAGATGGAAAGTGAAGCTGTGTCAATTTATGTCGCCCTGGTGACAGTAGTGCGGTCTGCATATTCTTTGGCTTTTTCCATAAAGATTGTTTACTAACTTTTACCCGTGACTTCGTCCATGTGACCGGGATATTCTTACTGAATCGGGAAAAAGTAGCCTTCTGTATCCCATATAGTACGTATATATTAAATTTCATAGAGATTGGTTAAGCCGTTTAGGCACCATACCATTGAATCTACCCTTATCTGTCCACTGCTAAACATAAGCTGTCCCCATAGACTGGTAAACTGCCATAGGAACAGTTCCTTAAGGCTGTTCACAATTGGGAGGATTTTGCCAATAGTTGCCAAGCTTGGCAAGCGGGTTCGCAATCGTAGTTTGGCTTTTGATGATGTTTTAAGGAAAACGCTGCTTACCTATCCTTCGACTATTAAGTTCACTTAATCACCTCCTATGACAGCCACGGGAAAGGACGTGGTGGTAGCCCATTTTATACGGAGACCACATGACAGTGCATAAAGTACATTTATCAAAATTATTTTTTTTTCTTTATTATACAAGAATGGCAAACAAGCTGACGGCCCACCTGATGGAAAGTGGCAACCGTC